AAGTGTAGTATGAGTACACCACAGTTGGTACCCAGTAAGTATCAAGACTAACCTCGATGGAGTAGTGACGAGGTACAATCAAGACACTCACTAGTCTAATAATATGTGCAATATAGTATACAAAAGTAATAGAAAACAAATAGCAGTGATAGCAACAATAATCAACTGGTGATGTAAATAGCAAAGCAGCAAGAACTCCATAAATATTGCTCAAACAGATAATGAACACAAGTACAACCAATAATTAAGCCCTTCAAAATATACACCTTTCATCTATAAGTTTTTCAATAAAAATCTCTAGAATATAATCCTTTCCAATAAATATATTTCGAATATACTTCTTTCAAATAGATATCTTTCGAATATAATTCTTTCAAATAAATATATTTCGATTATAACATTCTTTCAAATAAAAGTCACACTGGGACACCTCATTTCATAATCATAAAATACGGGTCTCAACCCACTTTTATATTTTCGTAATACGGGTCTCAACCCACTTTTATATTTTCGTAATACGGGTCTCAACCCACTTTCATATTTCTGCGGCACCTCGTGCCCATATTTAAATCATTATCTGTACGGACAGTTCGCGTGCTAATAATAAAAACCATCATATTTTCCCCTGACACCTCGTGCCCACATTTCATATTTGTTGCGGCATGCAACCCGATACCATATAACATTAATCATATCTGTTGTGGCGTATAATCTGATTCCATATAATATTAATCATATTTGTTGCGGCGTGCAACCCGATCCCATATAAAATTATCTTCCCGACAATAACCACAAGCTCACGATTTCAACATAGATCAGACTATTATCAAGTTTACCGAAACAACAAGACAAGTTGCAAAATATATAAGGATAAACACAAGCAAAATCACAACATAACATAAAAATTACCAACACAATAATCCCACATCATCACATATCATCCATGGCAATAGCCACCCTTATCTCTCCTATAGCCACCCTTATCGCTCTCATAGTCGCCCTTATCGCTCCTATAACCGTACTTATCGCTTCGTATAATAGCCACTATTATCACTCTACCCAGATAATATTCCAACACACATAACTACAGTGAAATGCCACCCTTATACCACATAATGTCAACAATGGAATGCCACCCTTATATCCTCATAATAATAATTCAAATCACACAACAATTTACATGAACTATTATCACGACAACACAACACAATGAATTCATATCACAATTTGCCTAATGACCACAACCAATTCCAAAGATATAGCAAATCAATAAATTTTTTAACAAATAGCCCAAGACTCCACACAACATATATAAAATCTCAAAACAACAACAGAGATGGAAAAGTAACTCAACATAGGACAACGCCTTCATTAATCCAAATTTTAATAAATATAAATTAATGCCTCATTTTAAACTTATTTAATAATTATTTGCAGATAAAGATTCCATAATGAATTTAATTCCAAGAAAAATATCAAATCAACAACACACAAAATTCACATAAAAATTCAAGTGACAATAACAGCAAACTATCATATAAAATACAAATTCGACAAACAAGGAATGGGGCATGACAATTCAAGGACTTACTAAGTTCCAACAATTTTCTAATTTAATACATAAGGGAGTCTACAAATTTCAACCGATATAATTTGCACATATAAACCAAGTACGTACTCGGCACCTCGCGTACATGGCTTCCAATCATACAATATCCACATAAGACTCAATGCCTAAGGGGTAATTCTCCTACTCAAGGTTAGGCGTGATACTTATCTTTTTGAAGTTAGGCCGATATTTCAAAATTACCTTTTTGCTTGAATTGACCTCCGAACAGCTCAAATCTATCAAAATTAATTGTATAACTTCATTAAAATTTATCGAAAATAATTCTGGATACTAGAACGTCGACTTAGAATTTCACATTTAAAAAGTCAACCAAAGTCGACATGGGGCCCGCATCTCGGAACCCGGTAGAATTTTTACAAAATTCGAACACTCATTCCGATACGAGTTTAACCATACCAATTTTATCAAATTCCGATAACAACTCGGCCTCCAAATCTAAATTTTCCTTTTTTGAAAGATTTTGCAAAAATCTCAATTTCTTCCATTTAAATCTGAATTAAATGATGAATATAACCATGGATTTATGAAATATAATCACTTTTGGATATAGGACACTTACCCAAGTTGAAGTCTTGAAGAAATCCTCAAAATCGCCCAAGAACCGTGCTCCAAAAATCCAAAACGAAATGAAGAGAATGACCATTTTTGGTTCTTAAGTTTCTGCCTAATAAAAACACTATTCTTGTCGCTAAAAGTTTAATTCTCGTCGCTACAATCGCCAAATCTGGTCGCTAAAGGTGTGCACCAAGACTGTTTACACCATCAGTTTATGTTTCACTAAAAAGGCTCTAACTCCTTCATACGAACTCGAAATTCGACGATTCTTGTTCCTATGAGTCACAAATAATAATACGAACCTACTCGTTCAATAAAAACTCAATTCGGATCTCATTTGCTCAATACGATACAAATTTCGCTCGTTAAATAATTAACTCATGTTTCATGCTAAAAACCTAATCGCGACTTGATGAAATTAGACCAAATATTTCAGATCATTTCTATAATTCATTAGCAAATTTCTGGAAGTCTCAAAATCGATTTTTGATCTCTAGAACTAAAAATGGACCTTTGGATCATTACATGCTTATGCTCAAAACACCAAACTTTTTCAAAAACTCTTCCCAGATAGCCTGTAGTGTATTAACCACAACTTTTTGTATCCAACTCCATCTATCAAACGGTTTAAATTTATGAAAACTAGATACAAAGGGCTACAACTTTAATTTTTGGATCATCGCCAAATTCCTTACAGATTACGAGATATAAGCTTTCAAAGTTAGCCATGTGCGGCAGAAATTTCTGCGATGCGCACTACTGTAGTCAAAAACAAGCAGTTAAAAATGGCCTAGAAATGGTCCGAAACCATTTCGAAACTCACCCGAACCCTTCGGGACCCTGTACGAACATACCAACAAGTCTCAAAATATATTACAGACTTAGTCGAGACCTCAAATCACATCAAACAATGCTAAAAACACGAATCATACCCCAATTCAAGCCTAATGAAACTAACAAATTCCAACTTCTACATTTGATGCCGAAACATATCAAATCGAGTCTGATTGACCTGAAATTTTACACACAAATCACAAATGACATAACGGACCTATGAAAATTTTCAGAGTTGGATTCCGACCCCGATATCGAAAAGTCAACTCCCCGGTCAAACTTTCTAAAAATATTCCATTTTCCAACTTTCGCCAAAATGCGTCGAATTGTCCTACGGACTTCCAAATCCAAATCCAGACATACGCCTAAGTCCTAAATTACCATACGAAACTATTGACATCATCAAATTTTCATTCCGGAGTCGTTTTGCTCAAAAGTCAAACTCCGGCCAACTCTTTTCATTTAAGCTTCAAAAATAAGAATTGTTCTTTCAATTAAATTCTGAATCTTCCGAAAACCAAACTCGACCACACACGCAAGTCATAATGCACATTATAAAGCTGCTCAGGACCTTAAGTCACCTACATTGTTAAGAGGGCAAAAGAAAAATCTAATTGGACAGTCATGATTTTAACACCTTTTGTCTTTTTTCCCTCAATACTGCAATTAAAATTGTAACATTTGATAATTAAATTCTCCTACATGAATGGAACCTTTGATTAAATTAACTAAACATTTACCTAGTTAAAATTATCAAATGAATGTGTATCAAACTTATTTATCAGCTCTTTCTATTATCTCACAATTTTTCTTTCAAAGTACTACTCAAAAAATATTGCATTGCTGGAAATTGATGTTAAATACTTCTTACTTTTGTCATTTAGCAATAATATTTTAATCATTTTCAAAGACATCTTAGCTATAAAGCATTCTAAGTAAAGTACTAAAAAATCAATGTGCGAGTTTATGAACAAGATTAAGGGTGTGTTTGGTATGAATGAAAATATTTTAAGAAAAATATTTTTCGGAAAATATTTTTTAATTTTTTCATGTTTGGTTGACTTAAATGTTTTGAAAAATATTTTCTTCATTGAACTCATTTTCCTCCGATTGGAGAAAAATATTTTTCCTTCTGAACTCATTTTCCCTATCAAGAGAAGGGAAAATATTTTCCAAAACTCTTTTTCAACCTTCCTCACCCTATTCTCCATCCCTACCAACCCCACCAACCCACCCTCAACCCCAACCCCCACCATAAATAAAAAAAATTATTAATGGTACTTTCATTTTTATGTTATAAATAAATTTTTTTTTCATTTCAACAAATGAGTATTTTCTTTTCATTTGGGGAGGAGGAGCAAGGAAACATGTAGACTTGGGGAATGGGGTGAGGAGAGTACCATAAAAAATATTTTCTACTCTCTAATAAAATCACTCATTTTTCATAAAAACATTTTACATAAAAAATATTTTCCTTCGTACCAAACATACCCTAAATGGTTTTCCTTCATACTTATAAATTTTATGTCTTTTCATACGCGGTAAAATTTAATAATTAATTAAAGTGAATTGCAATTTTATATTTAGTCATTTTCAATTATAATAAGTTTATCAGTATTTATTATCTTCAAATTAGCAGCAATAATTTTGTACTACTCTTTCTTCTTACTCAATCCAAAAGAAGAGAAGTCCCAACATTAAACAAAAGATCACAATTAAAGTTACAATCACGAAATAAAATCAAACTTCTCTAGCCAGGTATAGTATGTTAAGAAACTTCCTTTTTATTTTTCAGCAGAAACTCTTTCTTTAACCAAAAACAAAACAAAAAAATGAAACTTCTTTTCAACTTCAAGTCCCATCATCCTGCGTAGTCGCACGCGCCAATATCCAGATGATCGAAGAGTTCAGATATTACCACGTGTCTATTCCGTACAAAGATAAAAACAGTACTATCTATTTCAATTCCCTCCTACTTTTTTTCTTTTTTTCTTTTTTCTTTTTTGTCTTTCTTCTTCTTGTGTACACCGTCAAAGGCCAAAATTGAACTCTTCAATCTGCAAAATTCTATGTAGCTTCGTTCCAATGCAATCTCCAAACTACCTCTTCAATTAGCTCTTAGAATTAAGGCCCCAAAAGCCTTGTCAAATTGAACCAAAAAATGGAGGTGGAGAGGTGGGTTGGGTTGGTGGAATTGATAAACAAGCCAGCTATAATGGAAACATTTGTCGACATTTTGGTATGTATTGTCCCGATTTGGGTCGCGATCATGATCGGGTTAATGATCGGCTGGTCCTGGCGACCTCGTTGGACCGGTCTCGTGTTTTTAGGATTCCGGTCTAAACTCAATCGCTTTGTTTGGACCGTTCCTCCCGGTTTTGGTGCTCGCCGTCTTTGGTTAGCCTTTACTGCTCTTTCAGCATTCTCTGTTGGTAGGAAACTTTGGTTTAATTTCCAGGGCAGGACACGTAAGCCTTCCGCGGTGGCCGCGGATTCGGGTCAAGTGTCGGTGGATGAATTTGGATCATCTTCAGCGATTTCGGGTCCGGGTCCCGGTGAAGGGAATAATGATTCCGTCACCAGGTATGTTTTTAATTTGATTGTAGTATCATTTTTCAATATATACATATGCGTGCTTTTATTTCTAGGGTTTCCATATTTAATTTCGGTTTCATTTAGTGTGTACAATTTTACTGTTTCAATTATCATTGAATGATCTGTGCTGTTTCATTTTTATGGGAATAGTAGGCCATTAGTTGGTATAAACTTCAATAATTAACCGGAGAGTAGAACAAAAATCTTTTCCAATATAGAGTCAAATTTGGGGATTGATAATGTTGTGGTCTGTGCTGGTCGTTGGAAAAGAACAAAACGGCCCAACTATGTTTTTGCATTGAATTTGAGCTGATCTTAGCTGATTACAGTGCTTTTCAACACCTTATAATCTGCTTGTACATTATAGTGTTTCAGGGCCACCTACATGCTCCAATTATGTGAGGATGGTTAGAAAAAAGTAATGCTTTTTTTGATAATGAATTTGAATTTGAAGAAAGCAATGCTTCAAAATTTGAGATGTAAAATGAATTTGAACTTTTGAAAATTGTGAAAGTTATATCGTGTGTCATTTATTTCGTATTGTCGTAGATATTTCGGAACATCCCAAACTTTAGTGCATGTCACATAAGTTGGTACAAGAGAACATGTGTGATATTGTAAGTCAAATGAATATTGACTAGCTTGGATATTGTTTTGTAGTTTCCATTTGGTAAAAGTTTCTTGCTAAATTTTGACATGACTTTTTGCCCAAAAATGCAAACATTGCCATCATCAGACTGAAAGTAATTTTAATTTCTAGAAATCTAACTAAAAGGGAGCTAAGTTTCATTCAACTATATGCAGTTGTTATCTGTAAGATGAGGATATGAGCTTGGCCTTTTCATTGTTTAGAACGAGATGAAATTTTGCAACTATTACTCCCTCTGCCTAAAAAAGAATGACAGTGTTTAGGAAATGAGGATCAGGCCATCTAATTTTCGGTGTGAATACGGACGTTGATTCCTGATAATCACACTTTTTTGTAATTGGAATTTTTTAAAAATATTTGAAAGACTTGTAAACAGTAATAGTGTCGAGTAAATGGGACAGTGTTTTTAACCGAAAACTTTAACTCTAGTTTAATGGATTCTTTGGTATTTGAGAAGAATGAGGCCATAGTGCATTAATCTTGCCATATGTTTCATGTGATAGGAAAATACTAGCTTTTGTAGATGTTGCTAAAACAATTATTTGATGTCCTATGATGCTTGATATCCGTTTATGCCATGTCGACAAACTCTGACTAATTAATGTTGACTTGAATTGAATTGTGCATGAGGTACAAGTCTGGAAATTTCATTACATTTTGCTTTTGGGCAGACAAGAATAAGCATTTGCAACTCAGAAGGACTAGTTGAAAATTGAAGAAAGGATATACATTAATCAGAAGTAGTTCAAAATTCTGATGTAGTTGTTGTGCTAATATCCCTTCAAGTGAACCTTCCACAGGTTAATAATGATTGGGAGTTGCCATGATTGTTTTTTAAAAAGGTAATGAGGAAAGAGCTGGGAGAGTTTAGTTGTGTCTCTGTTTTTTTATCATTTGCTCTATATTTGAGAGAATTTACACTAAAACTAAAGAGAATGTCTTAGAAATAGGTCACTTTTATACCTAATGCACTGAAATGCCATTGTATAAGGTGAATGTTATGGCCAGTTTATGTGGCAAACACCAGTATATCTGTATGTATCACAAGGTAAAGATCAAGATTATGGTTATTTGTCCAATTTGTGCATGCAAGCTGCCCAGACATCAGGTCATTAAAAAAAGTAGTAGGAGGAGAAGGGTATACCACATTTTTGTTTTCAAACTCCTGCAACTTCCTCAATCGGGGAGGTATTCTGTGCAAGAAAGTCTTGTTTTGTTAATTAAACTGTAAACGAGGTAGAAGTCTATACTTCATTTTGCTTTAGACCCTTTTATTTACCCTAATCAAATGCTACACTTCTGTAGTTGAAATTAGGTAACAACAAGTTCGTATACGTGCTTTCCCAAAATAGAAAAGTTACTAGTTCATGCACAGTTCCACTCTTGCTGAAAGTATAGTTATTGCATTGTGTTGTAATGCTCAGTGTTGTGAAGAGCGTGAAGCGAGGAAAAGCGACAAGCCCCTTTTCTCTTAACCTTTTCTCTTAAAGCGAGAAACGAGAAGCGAAGCACTCGCTTTTTTGAAGTGAAGTGGAATTTTAAAAAAAAATATTAAAATAAATAATACTGCATAGACAACACATGTAACTGTAAGCAAATGTTTAATACTTCAATGTAAAAACTAAAGAGTAGTATCAATTAAAGCACAAAATGAGCATCCTATTCTTCTACAAGATTGTGAAATTCTTGTATACCACTATCATTATTATATTGCTCGTCAACTTCTTCTTCATCAACTAGGGACAAAGTAGCTGCTTCTTTTCCCTTCCTCTGTGAGCTTGAAACGAAAAAATTGGGCAGCATTTCAAACGAAAAAACAGTGCAAGAAGAAGAAGAAGAAGAGGAGAAGAATGAGAAAGAAAAACTGAAGGGAAAAAAAATTCGCCAGCATTTCGCTACTATTTGGACGCTGAAACATTGAAAGAAAAAGAAAAAGAGGAGGAGGAGGAGGAGGAAGAGGATCTTGAAGTTGAAAAGTGTAGAAAACTTGAACCCTAGGTCGCCTCTTTCTTTCTCTGTTGCTGCTGGTCGATGATGTTTTAAAAAAAGAACAACTTTTTTTAATTAAATAGGTTGGCAACCCTGTAATACAGAGAAACGCTCGCGTTCGATGGCTCGCTTCGCTTCTCACTTTAAGCGAGGAAGCGCTCGCTTTTCACAACACTGGTACTGCTATTATTGTGTGAGATGTAACAGACTGCAGATGTGGAAAAGTGGTTAAATACGTGGACATGTGTATGCTCCGTTATAAAAAAACGGTACGTATGTATGCTCATTTATAGCCCAGAATCATTGGCGACTTTTGCCACCTTTAGATATTGGAAATGGTTATACTATTTGAGGGATTAGAAAAGAGTAAGCTGCTTTGATAAATTGGGTTGCTCCAAGGGCAAGAGAAACTCCGTCCCCAACCAAGGGAGTTTTTGAATCACCAAGTGAGGGAAGTGGTCACCGAATGAAGCTTGGTATTTAAGTGGTAGCTGGGTATAGGGGCGTGCCCATACTCCTTCACAGTGTTTCAAACTTGAGGACCAACTGGGGTTGGCCAGCTAACTTGGCATTCTTACTAGACAGAAAAAAATACAAATAGATTACATTTTTTGTCTGTAGCATATGTATCTTTTCTTCACTGTATGATGCAATTTGATATTAAATTCATCTGGGAATAAGTCGTGATTGGCAACTGTCATTGTTCAATTTTTGCCAGACATGGAACTGTTTACTTTACCAGTAGTTCAATATAGTTTTCGTGTTGCATTATTACCTTTTTTTCCAATTAGATACCTTCTTTATGTGCAAATCATGGTTCTCAAGTATACGCGAAGAATGAAAAGTTTCTCTTTCTGCATTTATAACTTCTTCTGTAGTACTGAACAAGGCAGGAATAGTTGTTTTTAAGTCATTTAAGGCTAATATTTAGAAGAGGATTACTAGACACTTCTGGTGAAAATGAGAATGCTATCAAAACTAATTAATGGACTCCTAGTAATATGCATTCCTGCTGATTGTTAAACGAAAATTTCAATACTACAGAGAACTTTCATCACCCTTTTAGATGATTTTGGTCCCTTTATTTGGTTAGACACATAAGAGCATCTACTTTGTTCCTGTAGACATATTACTGGAACCTCGGAAAATGAGGGCATTGTGACAGAGAAAGATCTGGAGCACTTTCTGCATCTTCTAGATGGTAAAGATGGAGAGATGGCATGGCAAACCATGATGGACCGCTCTACATCAAACTTCACATATCAAGCTTGGCGGCATGAGCCTGAGGTCAAGTTTACCTAAATTGTGATATGGTTGTCAACATTTCTGGTTTCTAAAACCATTTTTCTTGAGAATTGCTTAATCCCAACTTTTACTTACATTATGAAACTTAATAAGCTACAAGGCTAAGACTGCAAGTGCGTGTTACATAACTGCAGGAGAAGCATTAGGATTCCTCAGAAAATATTATCTTCTTTTGACCTGTAATACGACTGGTATATGGGAGCATCTAGTCCACTTCTAAATAGTTATAGCTTAAACAATCCCCAGCACAACATAATCTGCGTTGAGCTATTTATATGTTTGGTACTTCTATTAGGACTCATGTCTAAGCTACGTTCTTTTGTCGGCTCAATTCCATTTGATGTCTTGATATTTTAACTTTTAAATGATCCAAAGGCGAAAAATTAGCCTTTACTTTTTCCAAGTCAAGGATCAAGTTATTTTTTCTCTTGAGGGTCAGGTCGCATAGGTTAGGGGTTCTTGTTTTGGGGGGCGAACTGAAGATGTCATCTGTTAATAACGTAGTAAATGACTTGATATCGGTTTTTCTTCTTCCTGCAACTTTTAGATGCATGAATTAGTAAAATATTTTCCAGTATTTCATATAATTGGACGGTCTTTTGTAGTAGAGTCACTGCTCTTCCACAATGAGTCCTGTTGCTGACACAATTTAGATGCTCATTTTAGGGAACGCCGGAATATATTATCATCTTTGCTTGCATTTGTATACTCTTCTGTACTGTTCCCTAAATAAAAACAGGGGAAGATCTTTTAGGTTAACTTCTTTGAGCTTTGATTTATAATATGTGCTTTCTTCCTCCTAGGAAATGGGGAGCACGTGTTTGTGTTCTACTATATCCATATTATTATTCTGACATGGCAAAATAACATCAAAGACCTAGCTTGAGGGAGATATGTACCTGCTTATTGCTCCTTTTTTTTAAAAACAAAATGTTTTTGTTGGTGTATCACTGCTTTATGGCTTTTATGACAGATTAATTCCTTTTGCTACTTTCAAATCCTCATTCAATTTGAAATATTACAGTTATATTACTGGGAAATTATCAAAAGTACAAAAAATGTTTTGTTAACTCTTGTAATCCTCCATTAACCAGACCCTTTCTATGCTCTTCAGCTAGATACCAAATTTGATGTTGTATCGCTGGATTAAGTATAAAATATTCTCTCTCTTTTTTTGAATTTTTTATGTACTCCCTCCGGTCCATAATAAATGACCTTTTGGCCTTTTAATTTTGGTCCAAAATAAGTGTCCTTTTACATAATTGAGAAGGAATTAACTTTATTTTTCCAAAATTTGCCCTTATTTACATATTCCAATGTGTCTAGTTAACAATATGCAAATTTTAATTAAGGGTAATTTAGTCGAAATATCTTTTTTCTCAAGGAGTTAGTATTTTCTTAAGGGGTGTGCCAAAGGCCAAAAGGGCACTTATTATGGACCGGAGGGAGTATTTCCCAAGCCGTAATTGCTTGTTTTGTTGCATGATTTGCTAGGTGACTTTGTCTATGACCAAGGTTTTTCTATCCATACAGTTAAGCTTCCCTGTTATCTCTTACTAATTCTAACAGAACCATTCTATTTGTCAGATGGGACCAACAATCTACCGAACCAAAACTGTTTTCGAGGATGCAACTCCTGAGTTAGTCAGAGATTTCTTCTGGGATGATGAGTTCAGACTAAAATGGGATCCTATGCTTGCTTATTTCAAGATATTGCAGGAATCCCCACATACAGGATCTATGATTATCCACTGGATTAAAAAGGTTTGTTGCTCATCACTGTGGCAATGTTGCTGTGAGAAACTCCTTGTGATTCATTTCTTCCATTAGCTTTTGTACTCACGAAAATTGTTTTTGCTGCTACAGTTCCCGTTCTTCTGCAGTGATCGTGAATATATCATTGGTAGAAGAATATGGGAATCTGGGAAAACATACTACTGTGTAACAAAGGTGAGCTTTAGGGGGCACGTGTAAATTTGATTGTTGCGAATGCTTCTAATACAAGTTTTAATGACTGATCTGTGTAATTTTTTTTTTTTTGTTAGTGCTTCCACCCAATATTATTCAGGCCTTCTTGGACTTGTGAGGCTTCCGTGTCTAAAAACCTTTAGTGGCTCCCATGAAATTCATAAATTTACTTATTTGTACTTGGAAAAATTTCTCCAATATTACACTTTTTCTTGATGGCTTGTTTAGTTGGCTTGTTAATAACTCTACTTTTCAGAAACCATGTAGTTACACATCATGTTCACATCTTTAACATGATCTTCCACAGAGTGTACCATATCCAGCTTTGCAAAGACGTGACAAGCCTAGGCGTGTGGACCTGTACTTCTCAAGTTGGATTGTTAAGCCGGGTAGGTAGCACCATTAATAACGGGTGTTCAAAAAGGATTAACTTTGCAATATTCCTACTGCATGTTGCTTAAGTTGATTTTTACTCAAGTTTATACTTCTAAAATGGATGCAGTGGAATCGAACAAGGGAGATGGACAGTTATCTGCATGCGAGGTCACTCTTACTCACTATGAAGATATGGGCATCCCTAAAGATGTTGCTAAATTGGGAGTTCGGCATGGAATGTGGGGAACAGTCAAAAAATTGCACAACGGCTTCAGAGCATACCAGAATGCAAGAAAATCAGAGGCAGCAGTTTCTAGGTGTGCAATGATGGCACGAATCACTACAAAAATCTCGCTTGATGAAGGTGTTGATGCTTTTGAGCGAGTTTCTGCTGAAGGTAGAGCTGGGGAAATCCAAGGCCAGAGAGGAGATGGTGGGATAGATTGGAAATGGGTAGCTATTGGAGCAACAGTTGCTGTAGTCTGCGGCCTTCGAACCGGCATGATAGGAAAAGCAGTGTTACTTGGAGCAGGGCAAAGGATTGCTCGGAGAGGCAGAAATGCGTAGTGGGGAGTGGTAGCCAGCACCTATTTGTAGCAATACGACCTTATTATTATTGTATTATTCTTTATTGTTTTACACTAAAGCCTTTCGTGCACAGAACCAGGCATTATGAAATCATTTTCAACTCTTGGCATAAATATTTTATTTTATGTCAAATATTTTGCCCTGCAACCTAAAGTATCTTTGATTCTTATGGTTATGGGTCGGTCGCTTACCCTAGTGTTCTCCACTTATTCTTTGTGTGATTCAAACCTAGCTTATGAGTTTGCTAGGGATGGTGTTTGGTTCCATTTGAGTCGGTTTTATGTGGAGAATGTATACTGAGACAATGTTTGTTTACACTTGATGGAAGTATGAATATGACTGAATGAATCAAATCTCACATTAAGTCTGAAAATCGTTCAAACCTTTCAAATTCCTTGCTCTTGTATTTTCTTCAAATAATAAATTATAATTAATAGTATCCTCCTTTTCCCGATCTATCTCCCGGTAGAAGCACGACATCCATGGCGAAGGACTCCTCAATCTCCCTCTTAATATCTCACATCTCCTCAGTCGTCAGCTCAGTGGATGAAGTAAATTACGGATTCAGCCTTAACACAAGGGAAGCATGAAACAATAAATGGAAATTGCCACAACCATCCATTTTCAGTTCCTTATATCAATTTCCATTCACTGTGACAAAACATGACCAATCAGTCAATCAACTCCAGCAGGTGCTCTCTCTGTGTCTGTCTTTCTGTGTGTGTGTGTGTGTGTGTGTGCGCGCGTGTGTGTGTGTGTGTGAGAGAGAGAGAGAGAGAGAGAGAGAGAGAGAGAGAGAGAGAGAGATTTTAAGCTTTTAGCATATCAACACAGTAGCAGTTTATAGAAAACATAAAAATAAATCTTTGAACAATAATTAAACATGACATAGATCCACACCATAAAAGAAACGAAAATTTTAAAGTATATTTTGTTCCAACTTGGTTTTTCGTCTGCCAATCTAACTGAATCTTTCAAAATGCATTCCTCCTTCCATTGAGAAGCAGTCGCTTCACTTCTACACTTCTACTCGGGAAAAGATGGCTGTGTGCTGAAGAAGAGAGATTGTCGTCACCATATTTATGATGTTTGCATTCAAGGTGAATAACAGGAAGAAACATGATGGAGCAAAATCACACCTAGCGGACTTCGGACCTAATTGCTCCAAACAAAACTGATTCCTTGAGCTTTTACGAAATTCATCAGAGAATTTAGCATCCAATAAACAACGCGCAGGTTCAAGTATTCAACTCACTCCCTCATGCTATCATTGTCAGCTTCCTCTTCACTTAAATCAAGATCAGCCAACAATTCCTCCAATGCGACAGTAGGGGCATCATCCCCATCAGTCACAGAAGCCATTTCTGATGGCTGATACTCCCTGTTGCGATAAAGAGATATGTTGAACCTCAAATCAGGATTCTCCTCTAAATCTCTTAAGAATTGTTCATACTCAGAGCTCATCTTCTCTTCATGGTCTCTACCCTTTACATTGTCATCAATCTCCATATTTAGAGATTTCAGTTTCCATGAACGAGGCTTCCCACGCTTCTTCTGCCATTTCTCTTCATAGCTTTTCTTAACCAGTATCACATCTGGGAGAACAAAACCTTTATACTTGTCCAGCTCATTATCATTACTATTAGCAGCATATAAGTCATACCCAAGTGCATAATCCCCAGGATTTAGAAGATGCCCCAGATGTGTTCGTACGTTGAAAATTGTATCATTCTTGCCAAAATCAGATACACGAGCTACTTGGANGCATAGAAATACCACATTTGCAGCATAAAACACTTCCAATTGTTCGATGCACTGTAAACATGCCCGTGTCTTGTGCCATGGCTAGTAAGAGACAGACAAGACATTAGTAAGCATAATAAGGACCAAAACATTATGAAATATGCATCAACAATTTTAAGTTACCAAATCAAACTAACAAGTATGTGATAATTTGCAACGCAAAAGTCTACGGTCATATCTGGTCGGTAAAAGATTTTTTTTATGTACTGCAGCTCCAAATTACCATAGAAGCTACAAGGCGCCAAGGACAAGCTACTGGAAATTTAATTCCAGTAATCTCAATGCTATGGCTTAAAAAATAAGTGAAAAGGAAATATAAAGGTGGAATACATTTTAAAGCCATGATCAAGAGTTTTTTAATTTTTCAGTTAACTTTAAGGCTTTAGTCCAAGGATAGAAGAAGCACAAATAAGTGCACGTCTTGAACAGATTTAAATTAAAACCAGATAAAATTTTAAACATCACCTACAGTTTAGATTCCCCATTAATTAATTTCTTCTATCTTTCCTTAGATAACAGCTTAAGACAAAAAGGAGAAAACCGTGATTGTGTCTGTAAAAAGGATCTAACTTTATGTTTCCTTTTCACTTCGTTTTAGAAAAAAAGAACACCTTCATCAGAAAATGGTACATAGATAGAACCAAGTATCTTTCCTTTTTAGTTCGACTGTTCATTTCAAAATTGAGGCCACATACATATACAAACACATATAAGAGCATTCTTTTACAGATCAACAACATATAAGGCAACTGAGCAAGACAAACAAATATTAGCATTTATTGTTCTGAAAGCTCAAGTGACACATATAAGTCAATGTCTTTGTTCTAGTACCTCAAAAGCCAAAAAAAAAGTGCCACCGTCGGTATTTCATCCAAATGTGAAATGAATTCCAGTATCACCCAAAGTATACAGCAATGGCTTGGGCTGATCCTAAATATAGCCACCAGTTCCATAGATTTCGACATCAAACCTAAAATAAGTTTCAGGGGATAAAAATAGCCGCAAGGCTTTGGTTTAACAGAAAAGGTAATCCAACATGAGATGCATGGTATTCGCATGTTGCAAGTCCGCATCCTGACTGGTATTTAAGTGGAGAAGGGTAAAGGGAAACGTTCATTATCCACACAGTTCTGAAACTAGAAGCCATGGATCTCTCAATTATCAAACAACAACAACAACAATACATCTCAATTCCAAGCTATTTGGAGTCAGCTATATGAACCCTCACTATCCATGTTGATCCATTTAGAACGGTCTCAATCCAATATTCAATAATTTCTTTAACACTAGAATTTCTCTACATTTTCTACTGATATACAAATCTCTAACAAGATCAAGAGACTCCTAGAGATATAGGACCTAAAGTAAGTAAAAAAAGTATTTTGTCTTGAGGAGCAAAAGGAAAAATAGAGAAAACACATACAAAACAAAACAACAAAACGAGTTGTCAGTTGAATAGAGCATACATCAATCAACCACGGCTTAATCCAAAACTTGTTTTGCTCCGCTAAATGAATCCTTTATATATGTTAACAGTTTCTTAAATAAAATGAACTTTATCAAAGAAACTCATGTATTAACTGTGAAATTAAAAACCCAAAATTAACTCAAAATGAATGGAAATCAAGTAGAGAAATTACCTGTGGAAGTAGAGTCGTAGGCGGAGAGACGGAAAGAGGCAAAGAGAGCAGAAATGAGAAAGATACCTAAGTCCTTTTGGGGGATTTTAGTCACTTTTTATTTTTTGTAAAATCAGGATAAGTAAAAAATATCATAAGCCGAACCAGGTAGTGTATGATATTGTAAATAATATTAATATTCATAAATAAAGTTTTGAATAAAAAATTGTACACGAAAAACTAAAGTATAAAATTTTACGAATAATCAATGTGAATTATTGTATGATAACTTGTTTGCCGTGGATAATTCTTTAATAGAATACAGCTGTTTTTCCTATTGACAAAGAATTAGTAAGAAGAAATTTTTTTTTTTTTATCGAAATTTAGAATCTGATAATTACTCGATTATCTCCATACACCCACATGGATATAATAGAAGGAAGCAATATGGAGAAGAATATAGCTAAATTATGTAAGAAAAATAATTAAGTAGAATCGGGGACTGCCCGACGAATTTTGTGGCCAAAAGTCAAATTTTATAAGGGGCCTTAACTTTTTTTAAAAAATATTTATTTATTTATTTAAAGTCTATTTTTTAAATTTTTCTTAGATACAAAGTAATTAATAATTTTGTAATAATCAATAACTCCTAATAAGCATTTCTCAGTTGACAATATAGCTAATCCATTTAATCTTTCTCGAGACGTTGTTGATGTTAGGTAAGATTTTATCAATTTTAATTTTGACAACTTCTTTCCGCTGAAGCAACGGTAATAAGATCAGTTATTAGCATTATTCCGTAAGCAATATAGACATCTGGAAAAGAATCAAATTTTTATATTTGATTGAGTGTATCAATTAAACTGCTACTCCATCTTCTAATTATACTATTTTCTTTGATACTTTTAATTCAGAAAATAAATCTAAACCATCAATATCGAATTGATTATTATGCTTTAAGGAACATTCAAGATTGAGGTAATATTTTTTCAAATTTTCATCATCTAGTGATCTTAGTTTTTACTGCTAAATAGAAAATTTAAAATAATTTCATATGCTTAGAATTGTTCAAATCTATTTTGAAGTGAAAAAATAGTCTTGTCTACTATGTATAAAAGTAATCAACTCTAAAGGACTCTTCGAAAGATTATGAGATTTCATTATCAACATTCTCATCAAATTGTTACATCCTATATATTACACGTTTCTTACGAAATTCGAGTTCGATATTCATTTCAAGTGCAATTTTCTTGGCAGAAATCATAGTAGTTACATATCCTTCTTCTCTATATTTGTTAAAGAAAGAAATCAAACTTTTTTACTTCATAAATTTTTTTAAACTTAGATATAACCTATTAGTCGTAACAAAAACTGGGACATTCACAAATATAGGGCCTAAAGCAGTTGCTTTTCTTGCTTTATGGAAGGGCCGCCCGTGACATTAGAAAAAAAGCTAGCTAGCATAGTTCTTTGCAGTTCAACATTTTTGTGTATGTCCAGTGCATATAGCGAGCCGAATGCGTGAATTTTTTAATTTTGTCAGCAATTAGAGTCTTTATATTTCCAAAAATAATATATTTAATTTGGTATCTGTCACGTACATGAATTATTTTGAATTTTACATTTTCCGTCTCCCAGCATTTTCTTTTCGTTAAATTCTCTTCGCAGAAAGCTAGATGCTGTTTGGACACATTTCGTGGATTTTAATTCTAATTTCCTTTATGGTTTTGTTCATTTGATTTTTTCATTTTTTCCAGTTAATTAGGTTTCTCAATATTTTGAATCATTCATATAACATATAACTTTTCCAGCACGTTCATTGTTCGTATTAATTGATCCCCCAATATTTATTTTGTTGTCGCAGATCAAATACCTTATTCAAACATATATTCATAAGTCAAATCAACATTGATGAAGAGTAATTCATGTATAACGAACAAAAGGAATCAGGAGGTACAAAAGAGTAACACAATCATCAATTGAATCAGACAAGATACACGTAATTCAAAAAACTTCTCTAACCTAGAACCCAACAATCTAAACAAGGCATAATATTTCTTTAAAAAACTCAGCGTCAAATATAATCACTTACCTAATGTTTATTTTTATTTTAAGTTTTGGCTTCAACTGTGAACCATACTTATTTTATGTGATATTTCTAATCTCTAGATGCCCCGTCCAGGAAAAAGTTGCAAAAGAGAGCAGGATATAAATAAAATTATCTTGTCAAGTATTCATTATTTTTAGAATCTTCCAAACATTTTGCAACCGTGCTCCTACTTAGGCAAACAAATGCAATTTTCTAAAGCCTAAACAATAACAAAGATGTCCATGTGTTCATTAATGTAATTAGTACACTAATTAGTAATGTTAGTTCTTTTTTGAAGGATTGTGACTTTTAATAAAGGAATATGAAGGATGTCTCGATTATATGAAAAGTGAATCAAACGGAATTGGGGGTTGCTAACAGGAAGCAAAGACTAAAGTGGTGATTGTTCCTTTCAAAAGTTAACAGACACGTCCCATAAGAAATATTTTCCTGTAAGTAAAATATTAAATAATTATTTAAAAGAACATTTTAGTAATTTAACTTTTTATTTTGGGACTCTCATTTTTAATATAATATAAATAATATAGATAAATGATCAAGGTCGATAAATAAGAGAGATGTTACATAAGGCGGTAAGGAAAATGATATACTATTGGAACTCTCCGTTACAATCGATTATTTTATATTATATTATACTATAATTCTTTATAACTATTTTTTTTACCTATGATAGCAATATATATTATTGAATGACAGTCTTGGAGTAACGATAAAGTTATCTTAGTGTAACCTATAGGTCACGGATTCGAACTATGGAAGCAACCACTAATACTTGCATTATGATAGGTTGTTTACATCTCATCCCTCGGGGTTGAGCTCTTTCCCGGGTCGTGCATAAATACGGAATGCATTATACATTATTGTATAATTCTTAAATTATCTCTATTTGTGGACATACTTTTAGCACATGCGATCTCGTTTTTGCGAGCCAAAACGTTGCATTTGCATCCTTCACTGACTTGTCCAATTTGCGCACCTGCGAGATATTTTTCGCATCTGCGATATCGCAGAAGCGAGCACAACTCCGCAGAAGCGGACGATCACCTTGAGCTGCATTTTTCGCATTTGTGGTCAATCTTCCGCAGACGCGACCTCGCACATGCAGTCCCCAATCCGCAAAAGCGAATCAACAGGGCTCACATCACTTCGCATAAGCGACCAGCTTCACGCAGCAGCGGTCACGCACCTGCGCACCAAAATTCGCAGTTGCGACGCACCAGCACCAGCAGCCTAGAAATTCACCAAGTCCAAATTCCGAACTGTTAACCGTCCGAAATCCACTCGAGCGACTCAGGAACTCGTCCGAATATACCAACAAGTTTTATAACATAACACGAACCTACTCGAGGTCTCTAATCGCATCAAATAACGTCAAAATTATGAATTGCACATCGAATCGAACTTATGAATTTTCAAACTTTCCATTACAAAACTCGTGCCGAAACGCATCAAATCAATTCGGAATCACTTCAAATTTTGCGCACGAGTCATAAATGACATAATGGAGTTGTTTCAATTTTTGAAATCGAAATCCAAACTTGTTATCAGCTGAGTCAACTCCCGGTCAAACTTATGAATATTTCAAATCTTCAACTTTCTATTTTTTTTTGCCAAAATGCATCGAATTGTCCTACGGACCTTCAAATCCAAATCCGGACATACGCCTAAGTCCGTAATCACTATACGAAGCTATTGAAATCATCAAAACTTCATTCCGGAGTCGTTTTGCTCAAAAGTCAAACAAGAATTGTTCTTTCGATTTAATTCCGAACCTTCCGAAAACCAAACTCGACCGCACACACAAATCATAATATATATTACGAAGGTTCTCGGGACCTTAAATCGTTGAACGTGACACTAATTCTTAAAAAGACAAGTCGGGTTGTTACATTATGGTTCCAATTTACTTGTTTTAGTAGTATTGGCTTGCTATTTCACATTGCATCTTGTTCATTTTTTAGTTAGAATTGATATATTAGATTTGTCAAGCATTTGAATAATGTTATGACATTATATTTATAAATATTAATTTATTTTATCAAACATGCATTCTATGACATTCTTACAAACTACTTAGTTCTTATAATTTATTAAACTAAATATTATTAATTTAAAAAAATATATCAATTATTTTTGCAATATTAGTTATAAATATATGATTACTAATTAATGTATATTCAAGAAAATATGCATCTTAAATACCAAATATAATATCATTTATACTCATAAAAATCATGTATATGCATGTATTTATTATATTAACTTTTAAGTTTTGGTAATTACTTCATTCAAAATTTAATCTAACTGTGTAATTACACTTGTGCAACCAAGCAGTACGCTTGTAATTACACTGTAATTACGTTATGACAAACAAATAGTTCATTGTAATTGCTATATTATGTAATTACTAGGATGTGTAATTACTACCCTAGTAATTACACCAATTCCAAATATTGGGTAACTTTTCAAACATACCCTTAACTAATTCACCCACATTAATATGCTTTCACATTCACTTATGACAAGAGTGGGTTGCTCTAGTGGTGAGCATCCTCCACTTTCAACCAAGAGGTTGTGAGTTCGAGTCACCCCAAGAGCAAGGTGGGGAGTTCTTGGAGGGAGGGAGCCGAGGGTCTATCGGAAACAGCCTCTTTACCCTAGGGTAGGGGTAAGGTCTGCGTACAAACTACCCTCCCCAGACCCCACTAGTGGGATTATACTGGGTTGTTGTTGTTGTATTCTTTTTCCATAGTCTTTTTTCCCTTTTCTATTTTAACTAGTATTAGCACCTGCACGACCTGCGGATAGTATTATGATCCTGCCAAATTATATAAATTAAAATAAATAAATTTGTGATGACCTAAAATGTCATTTTAAATTTAATAATTAATTTTGTGTTCTAAGATTTCGAAAACACTATTTATTATTTTCTTGAATTGCGTGCACAGTTCATAAAATTTTTCAAAAAGTTTTTATGTGAAAAATAGATTAAAATATGAATTAGAGCTTTAAAACTAAACTGAGGTGACTTTGGTC